GTCAATAGGAAGACTGGAGGTAGAGCCCAGTCATTGCCAAGGACCTGGCCTATGGACCACACACCTGTAGTGCCTTTCACAACCAATGTGGTGACAGCTGGCTTGACAGCGGAGACAGTGACAGGGGTGACCAGGCGAACGCCGCCCATGGGCACAGTGCGGAGGATAGTGCCTGGCTGTCCAGGGGCTCCCTTTAGCACCACCTGGAACATTAGAGCAAAGTGCCACCAATGTCACTTTCAGGCTGACGGGACTATGCTGCCCCTATCAGGCCTGTTAGATGGACACATGTGGTCTGCATTAGACTGAGGTGAAAAGGGGGCATGTGTGCCTCACCTGGGTCACTCCTTGCTGCCCATGGCCAGTAGCAATCTTGGGGACAGCAGTGATAATTTTGGCAGGCGCTCCTGTTCCAGAAGTCATCACCTTGGTGGTGATAATTGTGATGGGGGACTTAATGCCAGGACTGCTGGTAACACCTGAATAGGGGGAGGGTCCAGAGAAAATAAGCTATGTAAGAGCTTCCCATCTTCTTCTTGATTTACACTCACCAGAAAGGGCCTTTTGAAAGCTGTATGTTTACCTGTGGCGCCTGCCTGGGTGATAATGGCTGACATGGGAATGGTCTTGATGATGGTAGTCGTGCCAGGTTTGGTGGTGCTGGGAGAGACACTACTGATGCCCAGGATGGTAGGCTTGGTCCCAGCCCCACTAGCCTGTGTGGTGGTGATGATGGTTGTGGGCTTGCCATCTGCTGATGTCACCAGCTTCAGGATAGTCCCTGCTGGCAGAGGCCCTTTGGTCTGAAAGGGAAAAGCTGTGAATGAAGACGAACTACTGCCAGAAAGAAATAGGTGTAGCTACTCTAACTCAGAGAATATTCTGAATACTATGGGTGCTATGATAACAGCAGATCTTTGAGCCACTTGTGCTCATGGGACCTTCTGTCCTTATCTCCCAGTACCCATTCATCCCTGTAGGCCTACAGTTTAGGGATGACTTCTGGGGGTACAGTGAAAGCTCACCTGGATGATCTGAGTCACAGGGCCTGTAGAGGCTTGGCCTGTGACTGCTGAAGTCTGAACTGGTTTGGTCTGGACCACTGACATCACTTTTCCCAGATTGGAAATCTAAAAAGGAAAGAATGGAACAGGCAGTGATCTGGAACCAAACAAGGGCATGGTCTGGGCTAGGACTGCTCTGGAGTTAGCCCAAGACAGTAAGTCACCAGTGACATTCATCATAGCCTGGCAGCTGTCACACACAGCCAGGTGGTGCCTGTCACTCACCAGAGCACTGCCTCCTGGGACAGAGATGGGGCTCTTCACTAGGGTGATGGTCTTGGTGACTCCGCCGACCACTGTGGTCACTACCTGGGCTTGCTGGGCCACTGTCACGGTGCCTGATTTGTGTACCGTGATGATAGGGCGGGTAGATGTGTTGGCAGCAGAGGACACAGATGTCCCCACTTGGGCAGCTGCAGTCTTTAGCATGCGAGTGGCTGGGTTGCTCACCTGGAAAAACAGAGATGAATGAGGAAAATAGTGGCAACATAATGTGTAGCTTTGATGACCACCTGTCCACCTAGCTTGGTTGGCTGAGCAGCAAAAGAGCAGCCTGAACTCCCCCACAAGTCTAACCTAAGGCTGCACACAATTAAAATAACTGCATGTTCCAAAGCCCATGCCAGTACCAATTATAAACCAATGGCCTGAGGGTTGGTCCAAAGCCTGGAACGAATGGCCACTGCTTGTTCAATCATAGTGACTAGAAGTCACCAGCCCCAGGGCTACAGGCTCAGAACCAGGGCCAGAAGATACAATGCTCACCATGACAGGAGAGGAGGCCACCTTCACAGTGGCTGGAAGAGGAGTTGTGCCAGGTGTCACAGCCACTGTCTTGACAATGGTGGTGCCTGCTGGGACACTCAGCACTGTGGGTGCCGAGGAAGGAGGGATTTTTTGTGTAGGCACAAAGCATGTGAGCTGCAAGGGTTCTATCTGCCACCTGCCACCCAACTCCATGATCCTTTTAGAACCTGCCAGGGGGACTCAGTATCATCCCTTCCATTTTTCCTAATGCTGGCTCCTCCTCTTTCTTAGTGCAAGCAACAAGTAGGAAGGTGTTTGCCAAGCGCCTTTTTTTTTTTTTTTTTTTTTTAAAAGAAATGGTCTCATGTAGCTCAGGCTGGTGTCAAACTCATGAAAGTGACCTTCAATTTCTGTTCTTGCTTCCATCTCTCAAATGTTGGGATTACTGACACGTAACACTACACACTTGGCTTATATAGTCTTAAGAACTGAATCTAGAGTTTCGTGCAAGCACTCCACCAACTGAGTTATACCCTACAGTGCAAGAGAAGATTTTTAATCAAACAGCATAGTCAAGCTAGCCCTGAGGCATATGCTTGCAGTCCTAGCTATTCAGGATTCTGAAACAGATCATAGCTTAGTTAGGCCCTGGTCAAAAATAAAAGCTGGGACTGTAGTCAGTCTGCAAAATACTTCCCTAACAGGGTTCTGTCCCCAGTACTGCAGAGACAAAGAAAGAAAAAGACCAGAGCCAGAACTGGAGATGTATCTCAGTAGAAGAACACATGCTTAGCAGTAATGGGTTTCACATACAACACCCATCAATACCACCATTGCTACTGCTGGGTATGATGGTTCATACTTATAACTCCAACACTCAGAAGGCTGAGGCAGGACAATCTCTCTAAGTAGTAGATAACCTAGACTACAGAATTAGACTGTCAAAACCCAAAACAAACAAACACAACCCTTCGGTTAGATATAGCTCATTTTTATAGGTCTGGGTCAAACCCAGCTAAGCAGATTTTCCCCTTGGCTTTCCAAATCAGGAAGTCTACACTGAAAATTCCCCAAGGAATATACAGAACATTATTCCCCCTTGAGGCATTATTTTCAATGCAGCAACACCTTACAAACATCAAAGGCATGTTATGTACAGTGTGGGAGCTGCTGGGCTTCACGCAAGCTAGGCAAGCATTCCATCAACTAAGTTAAATCCCCAGTCCCAGAGCAGTTAAATATTTTTTTAAAGATCACATGAGAACTCTGTTTATGCTACTGGGTTACCACAAAACCCACTCAGCAAGACACAAAACTCTACTCAGTAACAGATGCTCACCGTCCCCTGGGCACTCTGTGTGGGTACAACCATTCGCACACTAGCAGGCAGGGAAGTCACAGTGACAGGGGCTTTTCCAGCCTGGCTGGCAGGTCTCATAGTGACCAGTGGGGTTCCTGTTGTAGCCTGAGGACCAGTCACTTTGAGAACGGTAGGAACACCTGATAAGAAAAGAAGTTTGATCATCAGGAGGTCCTCTTCCACACATTATCCCAACACTGCCAAATTTAAGACAAACTCGAGCTACTCCTTGTTCTGTCTGTTCTTTATGTGTGGTTCTTCTATGTCCTCAACAGTCCCTGCCAGCAAGACAGAGCACTCTTATCTCCTAATCCTCAACAAGCCCAAAGCTAAAATCCACCAATGAACAAAGCTGCAGCTACTACTCTAACAATGAATGACTCCAGTGACTAGGCCCTACTCCAAATGCCTTTAGCCCTTGTGGCTTACCTTGAGCCCTGGCTGCAGTGGGCACAGAAATGGAGCTGCCTGGTACTGTCGGCAAGACCTGGATGGTGGTAGTGCTTGGGGGTGCAGCGGCAGCCTGGGGCACAAGTGTGATGCCTACTTGGGTCAGTGGCTGTACAGCAGGTGCAGCTGCTGCAGGCGCAGGGCTCTTGGGAGGGTTGGCAGGCACAGATGGGACAGGATTGGGAGTGGGGGAAGTGGCCGTAGCAGCCGTGGCAGGAATGTCATATTTCTGGAGCTGCAGAAGGTAACTGTCGGCTGTTGCTACTGCACCCCAGCTAACCTCCAGTGAGTTAGTGTTAGCTCGTACTAGTTGTACTCTGGCTGGGGGTGGTGGCTTTTCTGTAATACAACAATACAACTGTTAAGATAGGGAGTGGAGAGGCTTCAGTAGTGGGAATGGCAGTGGCCCAGCACTTACCTGTCTCCAGATACCACAGGTCCTTGCAGCAGACCTGGTTGTTCCAGGCCTTTCGGTAGCCATCACGGCCACTCCAAATGTACAAACGAGTATTGATGGCAACAGCACAGTGACCAGCTCGAGCTCGAGGAATGTTGTCTTCCAGTGTATCCATCAGGATGGTTTCCCAGGCCATGGTATCTAGAGGTTATACAAGACCAAACAAAAACAAAAACAGACAAACAAACAAACAAAACCCATAAAACAAACAAACAAACAAACCAATCCTGCTCTCCCAACTCCCAAGTTGTCCTCTATTCTTTCATTGTTGGGGATGGCAAAGTTATTGGAGTATCAAATTAAAAGCTATCAAAAATAAGGCAAAAAATACCATAAAAATTATGGTGGGAAAATTAATTTGGGAGGCAGAGGCAAATGGATCTCTTGAGTTCAAGGTTAGCCTGGTCTACAAAATGAGTCCCAGAATAGCTAGGGCTACACAGAGAAACCCTGTCGAGGGGAGAAAGAAGGAAAGAAATTAAGAATAAACTGGGCAAGTATTTGGGCAATATAACAAAAGGCCTAACTCCTTGTACATAAAATACAATAAAGAGATAAGAAAAGATTGATACAATATATGGAAAAAATCAAGTAAAGACCTTAAGAAAATGCATGCATCTTCAGTCAAAATAAGAGCAACTCTAAAATTTTTGTTATTGAGATGGTTGTTTCACAATGAAGACCTGACTGGTCTTGAATTCAAGAGATCCACCTGCCTCTGCCTCCCGAGTGCTAAGATTAAAGCCATATGCCATATTAAAAATGTAATACTCACTGTGCAGGGGTATGAAATGATCTCCAAGATATAGTAAGGAAAAAGGGCTACTTGGACCTGTGTATGGTAGGCTAAAGTCCTAGAGCTACTGCCTGTATAGAAGAGACCCTGCAACGGGGTACAAGAAACATCTCTTTATTGTACGTGCTTTTGCACTTGTGGATGCCAGGCACATATGAAGAACCTACTCAAACTAAAAGGAGTGCTGCCTGAGAGTCCTCTACCCATTGGATACTTCTAGTGAATTCTAGAAAGATCCATGAGCCCAGGTTTGCTCCTGTACACTGTAAACATCTCCCAGGGCCACCCCACCCCACCTCAGCCCTGGCCACTCTAAGCATGAGGAGGCCATACCCAGGAAAACACAAGCCAGTGTGTTGGTACACTTCCACTCCTTCTCGTGTGTGGCCACTTTGACATCATCCATGACAAGAGGCACCCAGCCACCAAATACATACATTCTGGGAGGGTGAAGGAAAAGCAACAGAAGATTAAAAAGGAAGTAACAAGCTAGAGGCTACCTCTTTTACCCAGAATATACTCAATTCTCTAGAAGCCCCCGGAAGTCCCTGAAAATTCACGAAGCTGTTTAATATGGCACTTCCTACCTGATGGTATAACTTTACAAAGAACTGTCATTTGAATGGCAGGAGAGTACTGTTTGGCTCATCCAAGGTGCATCTGAATCTCCATGAACCCAACACCTTGCCATTCACAAAGAATGCTGTTTGTGTGAGGAGCTACAGCAATCTTACTGGCCAAGTAAGGATCTCAGGTTAAGTTACATGCAGTCCTTTCCACCCTAAATCTGCCTTCACTAAACTATAAGGTCGGTATGGGGCAGTTGAACGACAGACCTGTCAGAAAGAAGTCTCCTTGGAATTGAGGGACAGTTGACAAAACTGACTTGAGAACCCTTCAGGAGTCAGGGGCAGCTCAGGACAGGGAAGAAAAGAACAGACACTCACTTGTTTCCTATGGTGGTTGCAGAATGGAGGCTTCGAGGAAGGGGTGCCACCCCACTAAGGCTGGGCTTATTCCATGTCAGTGTCTCTGCAGAGACGGAGAGAAAGAGATTACCTATGCTGGATCAAACACCATAGTCCCAGGACTTGGACCAAATGGGCTCTAAACCAACATGAGAACTGCATTCCTGTGGCTCCAAATCCCTCAGCAGGCCCTCCAATTTATTGCCCTAACACCTATGTTTCAGCATTTCTAAAGCTGTTTGTATGATATGTCCAAAGTTTCTTCCCAAATGTACCGGGCACCTGCTATAAGGCAGTACTGCTCTCAGGGATGACATAAAGGTGTCAAGCTCTCCCCAGCTTCTCCTTTATACTTCTATTCCCTGTAGAACACATTTACACTCATGCCATCTTAGCACTGGACAGACCACACTTTAGGAAGCAGTGTTATGCAAGTTTTACTTATGTTCAAATGCTTGTGTGCTCTGATCCACAGGGCAATATAACCAAGATCTACCCCCACCCAATCCATCACCTACTTTACAGCAAAAGTAAAAGGTATAATTGGTCTACGGTAACCAATTTTACTGTGCTAGCCATATCAGAATATACCAATCCACATACTGTCCATTGAAGAGTTAATAGGGACTCTACCCAAATTGAAAGAATTCCATTCTAATAAGATTGTACTTTCTTTCTATGCTCCTGACAAGCCCAACTGAACCTTAATCTGTTTCTTATCTACTGACAAGGCTAAGGGGGAACACTAGCTCCCCATGAGCCCCACTTCACCAGTCACTCAAAGGCCAGCTACCCAGAAAACTGGCTTTGCTCTGAAGCTACTGGAACAGCAGCAGCTTCTTACCGATGTCCAGGGTCCAAAGGTCCCCTAGCCTGCAGCCACTCATCCCTCCATAGATCACCAGCTTGGATTTCTTGTTATCTTTCTCAGTGTAGACCACAGCAGTATGTGACTCCCGAGGTGGAGGCAGGACTCCATAAGTGATGGGGATGTCCCAAGCTACCACTCCAGAGCCTGGCCGCAGTTCGAGGATATATAAGTCATTCAAGTACCTGAGGAAGATCATTTATAGCAAGTCTTGAGCACATACACCAGAGGCTTTACCGGGTATCTCAGTGAGCAGTAGATTTGTTAGAACACAAAAAAAGCAAAGGCTAAGACCAGGCCTTGTGGTGCACACCTTTAATCACAGCACTGGGGAGGCAGAGGCAGGTGGATTTCTGTTAAGTTAGAGGCCAGCCTGGTCTACAGAGCAAGTTCCAGTATAGACAGAGCTACACAGAGAAACCCTGTCTTGAAAAACAAACAAAAAAGGAACAAAGATCATGGAAACCTTGCACCTGAAGAGGGGACTGACTGCCAGAATCTTACAAGGTGAGTAGAGTTGGAGCAATGAAGAGGTGTATGTGTGAAGTGGCAGGTCCCTTCAGGATGTATACAATGCCAGACATTATACTTGGACCTCTCTAGAGCAAGGGGATGCCAAGCTTGGAATTACCTCCAGACAATAAGGCCTTAGAAAATACCCACCAGGAAATGTGTAAGCAACAAAAGTTGCAAAGGAAGCAACCAGGTCTAATTTTGGTCTAAGGGATCCCAGTGTGAGATAAAGCAGGCTTCTACCTTTTGCTCAGCTTTCTCCTACAAGACCTACTGAGGGGTTCAGATTTCAAAACTGGGAACTTCTTGAAATGGCATTGAATGCATTCTCTCATTGACACCCAGCAAAGGAAAAGAAACATGTCTCTGTACCTGGGGCAAGTAGACCCACCCTAGTGGTGTTCTCCAGAAAAAGGACCAAGTCTCACCTCGGAATGTTGTTCTTGGGGTCCTCACTATCATTGGCTAGACCCCCAAATAGGTAGCATTTGTTGCCCACAAGGGAGAAGCTGTGTCCAAGCCGAGGACATGGAGGAGGCCCATTTTTGGGCGTCTTTGCTTTCAGTCTCTTCCATTCCCAGCGACTGGCCTGCAAAATCAAGACTTAAGAGAACGACTCCCGAGATGAGAAGGACTAGGGCAATTTGTGGCACAAGGAGAAGATGGTCTGGAGTGAGGGAGCATATTACTAGAACATGCAAGTCCTAAGGAATTTGGTCCAGTTCTCTCCTTTGACACTGTTCAAGGTGAGAGCAGCCTTGGTAAACTCTTAACTGACCCCTTCTACTGCCTCTCCTGTCCTAACTCTCAAACACTGTAAGAAACACTATGGAGAATCCCATGGGGGCTGAGGCAGTGTAAGAACCCAAGCCCAAAGGGGCTCTATGTTGTTACCTGGAGTTCATAGAGGTCGTTGCTGTATTTTCCATACTCCACCATCCCACCAAATACCAGTAGGCGAGTACCATCGCACACAAAGCCATAGGCTGCACACCCTGGAGGGATATCCCCTCTCACAGCTGGGATGAACCACTGGTTGGTCGCTGAAGAACAAAAGGAAACAAGTGAAAACATCCAGGAGCTTCTAGAACTGGAGCCCCCCACCCCATTTTCCCATTTTTCTTATTCCTTAAGTCTTGAACTTTCCAACTCCTAGTCTTCAAATGTAGCCAAGAGAGCAGAGACTAAACTGCCATACTGTCCCTTAAGAACACCGTCACTCCAAATCTCAAGTCACTCTAGCCAAGCCATCTGCAGAGCCCTGATTTTCAAACTACTGCACAACTGCATGCTCCTCATCAAGGCCATCTCAGAAGGCAGTAAGTCACCAACCAAGATGATTCATCAGCCTCCAAGAATCTAGTAGTCCCTGACTTCCTTCACCTACTGTTCACATGATCACAAACTTCTATACTCCAAATACCCTCTAGGGTTTATGTTCCTTCTCTTCAGAACCCATTATTCTCTCCCTGTACCAGTTAAGACAATCAGAGCCCATAGGTGCATCTGTAGGTGGTTCTAGAAACATCAACTATTATGGGCTGATGCCTTCCCTCCAATGCAGGCAGTTAACAGGGAATAGGGGTCATAGCTTGCTGGCTCAGAAGAGAATGAGGCAAGAATCAGCATCTGCTGACCTCCCAGGCCTTGCTATCTCTGCTTTGACTTCCCTACTGGCTTGTCACCTAGGTGATGATCCACAAGCTCTATGGCAGTGCCCCCTTCCCCAAGTCCAGAATATTCTCAAGCCTGAGGTGGCAACTGCAGCAGAGTGTGACAGAAACTTCTCAGGAGCCCCTCACACTTCTAGCTGGGAGTGAGATGGGGAAGTCACCGAGAAAAGGCAAATCACACCTCAGGCACCTCCTGGTTCCCCTAGGATATAAGACGGTGGCCAAACCTTCAGCTGGGACAGAGCCCTTTCCTAGCTTGCCTGACAGTTTGCTCTTTCATATCTGCAGTGGCAAGGACTCCTGTAATGTTATAGGAAAGCATGCTCTTCTGCCATGTCACATATTTAAAGATATTTTCCAAAGTCGCTAAGTCACAGAAGCAGACCTCCCCATGTACACTACACATCAGTCAGGTAAGATCTGAGAGGTCTGTATGAAGGATTTCCAAGTCAAGATCAGTCTCCCTCCTAGGAGTTGATGGGAGGTCAGGTTATGTTTTAGAAGAGGTGACACAGGAAGCATTTGAGGACCAGTCTAAGCTGTTCATCTGCTTCTCAGCCATACTGTCCACACAGAAAAAAAGGGAAAATGCTTGTTTTGCTTTTTTCCCCTGTATTCAGATTCATTTGGGAAAAGCCTCCCCTCCCCATTTATAAATTCCTGTGTTCTCAATTCCTACGGTCCATAAGCAACAACTGCACCCTGCAGTGACTTAGGGAGGAGGGTCTCCCCAGGTGCACAGCTATTGGACTCCTCAGTGGTTTAGCTGAGTCACTGAAACAACACACTGCCTAGCCCCCATCCTGTGCCATTTTCCTGCTGGAGCGATGAAGCTTGTTCTGCATTCATGTATCCACACACCCAAATACTGGCTCGACATTTTTCCTCATTCCTAGTGCAAAGATGAACCAAGAAATGTAGGAGCTTTGAATATTGAGGCAAATCACAAGTTGGGAGAGATGGTCTTAATCTGTGGAAGGAGTTTTTCATCCAAGGTAAAGCTAACAGGAACCTCTGAGAAAGCCCCAGTCCAGCTCTCAGTTAATAAAAGAAAAGAGCCCAGAGCATGCCTGTAATCTCAAAACTTCAAAGATGGAAGTAGGAGGATCAGTTCAGGGATAGCCTGAGTTATAAAAGACCTTGTCTCAAACAAAAACACAAACAAAAGAAAAGACTCCAGAACCCAGGAAAAGAAACTCAACCTGAAGTCAGAGTAAAACCCAACAGGAATATGAACCTGATTCAGAGTCTGTCTCATGTACGGGCAGCCCCTCACTTAGCTGAGAACCCTTGTGTTAAAGACATATAGGTAGTGGTGAGTCATGAGGCAAGGCTTGGGTGAAAGCTAAATGGCAAATGGGATTAACCTACAGCTTTCCCACCATGCTGATTCACTGACCAACTGGCCAGGCAGATGTTAGCTAGGATGTTCCTGGCCTTCCAGATCACCAGCTTCTCCTAAGAGACCTAAGAGGTTTTAGTCTGGTTTTAGAATGTTCCTTCTGGCAAAGCAGAAGCCTTTCCCAACTCCCACAAGTCCGTCAGGGAGTTCCTGGTAGGAAGATTAATTAACACCACCTCTTCTTATCTCTTCTATGAATCCCTGTTTTACTGTGAAAGTATATGACTTCCCCCCTCTGTCTTACAAGTCTAACAGCTGCTCTCCCTTGCCCTCAAATACCCAGGGGGGTATCAGGTAACCCAATTGCTAGGTCCCTCATTCTTGACATGCCTGGCATGTTCCTGGTCCTCAAGTCTGCCCCTCACCAAAAGAGGGGAATTGAAGAAAGGAGGTCATCTGTTTTCAGGCTCCTGAGTAAGATACTTTTTACCTTCCTTTTCTTCAGCCCAACTCCGTTTGTATCTTCTGCCTCCCAATCACCACCTAGACTGATACCCATGCAACAGAGAACACACTGGAGTTCAAGGAATTATCTCCCTTTCAGTGTGATTGGTCACACAAATGCAATCATTTCTGATGTGGCAGACCCCATGCTGGAAGGCACAGAGGAGTCCCAGCCTCCTATTTTCCATCCAGTAGGTAGGTTGTACATCCCTCCAGTGATGGGAAGAAAACCAGGAAGAGCCTGGGACCATGCCCAACCTTTGGGAGCAAAGGAAGGGTGATGAATGACCTAACTAAAGAAGGTTTCTCTGAGTAAAAAACATTTAAGCCAGAGCTTTAAAAAGTAAACAGGCTATTTCCTAATCAGCAAAACTAACAGGCCAATCAGGAAGTGAGCCTGCTAAGAAGGAGGGCCTAAAATAGATGGGGGAACAGAAATGATACCTATTTTAGTGAAATTTAGGTACAGGGACGTTATAAGGCGGTGGTTTTCTTATGAACTGAATTAAGAAACAAGTGGTATAGCTGTTGCAGGAGACAGCTGGATCTCTGTGAGTTTGAGGCCAGCCTGGTCTACAGGACAAGTTATAGGACAGGTAGGGCGGTTACACAGAGAAACGCTGTCTTGAAAAACAAAACAAAACAAAGCACATACGCATGAATACAAACAAGTGGTACAGCAGTCCCCATAAAGGCTCACACTCTGGCCCACCTCTACCACTAGTCAGTTCAATGTTCCTGGACTTGTCACTTCCCCTCTTGGACTCCAATTTCCTTACATGTAGGAAGTCCCTTTAGATATTTTCCAACACCAACCCTCAAGAGTCTATGGTAGAACTGGCTTAGTGGTATAGTATTTGCTCAAGGTTCTGTTCTACATCCAATGGGGGAGTTGGTGACATCCAATATCCACCGAGGCAAAGTAGCCTGGGAGAGGGAACAATCATACACACCCAGCTTCAGCACAACACACTCCACCCCAGACTCTGGATCTTTGGGCTTGAGGCCTCTTGAGTAATCTGAATCGCCTCATGAAAATAAAATTCCTCCATGGACAATTGCAACCTTAAGACCTACCAAAAGACAGTAAAGGGTCTCTCAGCCCGTGGTGATTGCCACTAAAAGGGGCAAAGCCATGTACACATGCACTCGCTAGCATACACAAACCCAGTTAGTCCACTGGGTAACCCCTGGGTAATTATATTCTACCCCCTGCAAACTGAAGAGTTGACCAAGACAGCCAAGTGCACATATACCACAGATCTTTTTCCTCTTTTCAAAGAGGAATGTTATCAGACCAGCCCACTGTATAAAGGGGTAAGGACCAATCCCACAAAAGCAAAGGAAGACAGGCAGAGATATGAACAGATTATGAACTCAGGCCTCTTTGGAAACAAAACCAAGGTAAGCAGCTGTTGGGAAGGATGGACAGTCAGGGCAGCACCAGGACTGTTAGAACTTGGAGCCTGACAAATATATGACACTCCCTGAGCCTATCAAAACAAGGGGTACGCCTTTTAAGGTGAAAGCGGGGTTGGCTAGTTGCTCTCTCAAGTCACCTAAAAATGATTCGAAATTGTTATTCTTGGAGGATTCTTTGCTGTAAGCTGACTTTTAGAAAGCTGGTAACCTCCTAACACTCAACCTCTTTGCAAAATGGTAACAAATTAACACCAAAGTCGTCAATTGGTTTCAAAAACTAATGAATATGTAGAGGTCCTAGGAAGTCAAGACAGAGGCTTCCAATGGACTTTGGAGCTGACTGTAATTAGGACCCTGCCCTAGTTTCTGAAATTGTATTTCTCTGCCAGAAAGTCTGCTCCAGGCCTAAACAGAAGAAAGGCATTCCAGAGAAGGGAGAAGGTGCTGCTGCTCCTGTGGAGGCCATCTCTAAAAACAGCTCTACCACTCCACAAGTTGCACCCCTGCCCTTGGCCTTACCTTACTGGGCTAATTCTTGCCACCACAGCTGTCTGGTTTGGCACAAGCATCACCAACACCACCCCCCTTTCTACAGGGGCTCCGAGAAAAACCCTGCTCCCTGGAGGCAACAGGTGCTGAGAGACAAGGAACTCGAGGGTCATGAACAACCCACCCATCAACTTGGAAGGGGGAAGGCCTTCACACTCAGCCTGGTGGGGGAGGTGCTAGGGAGCTGCCAGAAAAGTCTGGCTCCAACCCTCACTGCATGAACTACCCCAGACCATGACCTCCTGCCTGCTTCCTACCTCATCAGACCAAGGAGGCAGGGGGGGGCAAAAGAATGGCTTTGTTCCACACTTGGTCCCGCCCTCACAAGAAGAGAAGGTGCCTGGGATGGCAAGGGCCCAGAAAGGACGAAGGTATATGTAAGAAGCTAAGGAGATGACAAGGAAGCCCTGCAGACTGCACCTCCTGCAGTAGAGGGAAGCTTCTAGTCTACCACAGGCAAGGGGGCTGGCTCTGTCTGGTCACACTAGTATTCTAGGCTCTCACTGGACACAACTGGCACATATTTCCAGCCTTAGCAAGTCCCAGCACTCTT